GCAATCCCTTCTCCTCCATTCTCCTCTTGGGATCTTGGCACGCACACACGCCCGGTGTGAGTTTTAAGTCACCGGGTCCGGGACGCGAACCACAGTCGACTACGTGGGAGTCCAGCGACATAGCCATTACGCTAACTGCTGGTTCCCTTAGGGTGTCTTTTAATGTGCATCGTGAACGTTTTTCAGAATCAAAATGGAGTGGTTTGTGCCAACCCTGACTAAAGTGAGCTGGAAGGCCTTGGGGGGGAGGGTTCTCATACTAGCACACCTGATAACAAGAACAAGAACTGTTATTTAGAGAAGTGGTCCCCATCAGGGACCCACTTCATAGCAGACCAGGTGGGGGATAGTTTATGAGCGGGCACCACCTGGTCCCTCCAGGGCACTTCACAGCAGGGTTCTGCTCTGGTGAGATTGCGCTGCTGCAGAGCTGACAGGAGGCGGAGCTGGGCGGCAGTGTGAGTGGCAGGGAGCCCTGTAAACACAGTCAGCTGGCGCCGCTCACTTCCTGCTGTGCAGCCTGGTTCCTGACAGACGGACTGGGACCTTCCGTGGTCTGGCGGCCGGACCCCTGATTTAGAGAACGCTGCCAGCAGTTCACAAAGACCACTGCAACCTGCCAAGGATTTCTTCTGCAGAAACTCTGCCCAGACTGTCTGTCCACGTGGACTGACATGGCTCTTGTTATCCTGGCAGCCAGAATCATTGCCCCAAACAATTAGCACGGTCTTCTCCCATTTGTGGTTTTCGCCTCTGGGAGCTGTTGGAAGATTGAAAGACCTTGGTGAGCTGTCTGGGAACTAAGCTCAACCAAGCTGTACCCTGGGGCCATCCTCAAACTTATGCCCGAGAAGAGTCCTTTTTGCTTTCCATATTTTGGCTCAGTTTACCTTTTTTTAGGTTACCAGCATAAATTACTAATTTTAGGGTGGTGGAACTTATCAACCTGTTTTAGTGCCTTAGTTTCTGCCTCGGAAGCACTAACAATCGCTGCCCTCTGATAACTGCACCGGCCTGACGCCCGGGACCTCTGCCCACGGTTACACTGCCCCTCCTGATGGTAACCCTTATCACTTTTAATCATTCCCCCTGCTAACTCTATTGCTTTAGTACGGGGTTACTGAAGCCTTTTTAGAAAAATGTATTTCTAGTTCGAGATGATAGCCTATTTCTTAAAGTTGGTAATTTATGGATACTCAAGGTGCTGTTGTATTTAAGAAGAGGTATTGTTAAATCCTAAACAGAGGCAACCTTTATTAACTTTGCTTTATCAAGGAGAATTCATGCATTTTACATTCCCACAAATCAACTATAACAAACCATGTCTTACTTGTATTTTACAGAAAAATATTCATTCATCTTTGACATCCGTGCCTTCTTTTTCTGCTGTCTCGTTTCAGGGTTAAAGTCCGCTACCTGTGGTCCAGGGCTCTGAAAGGCCAAGCATTTTAACTGCCGCTCTATTTGTTGCTGTGGAATAAAATGTGGGAGCAGGAAGAGGCAAGTAGTTTTATCTGTTTTACAAGACTTCAAAATGAACGTCCTATAACTTTCACCCTAATGGCATCGGAGTATAGATGTTTAACATAGATAAATTTAATCTAAATTTCAGAAGATGATGTAAATTTTGAATAAAGAAATATATGGTAAAGATATCACATAATAAAAATAGAAAAATAATCAGGGGGAACATTAGAATTATTTCTGATGGGATTGAAGTTGTATTTTACAGCAGATTGGCACAAGGGAAGGAAGGCCCTTCCTCTGCTGTCACCTGAAGCCCAGGCAGTGTCTCAAGCCACAGTGCGAACCCCAAGTGCACTCAGCACCCCTCTGTGCTCCGGGGTGTGTTTGGAACTGCTCCCTAGCCAGCGAGCATGTACTCCACTGGGCTCCAGTTCAGAATCACTCCCAGTCAAAGCCAGATCTGAGCGAGAAAACTCTTGCTAGAATGACATTCTAGAGTGTTAGGAGAAATTTTCAGAAGTCTCTGGGGACTTTTATAATTAAACATTAAGTGGGCAGGGCCCAGCAGGTGGTGTGGTGGTTAAGGCTCTAGACATTCCCACATGGCTGACCACAGTTTGAGTCCTGGACCTGGTGGCTTGCTTTCTCACTTTCCTTCTCTCTGTTGTGTCTGTCTTTCTCTGGTCAAATGAAAATAAATAAATAAAATTAAATAATTATTTTTTATGGCTATGAGGTGTACAACTAAGTAAGTATTGCACATTGCTGTTCTTTTCTTAAATAATTATTTTATTTTATTTTATTTATTTTCATTTGGCCAGAGAGAGAGAGAGGGAAAGTGAGAAAGAAGTCGCCGGGTCTGGGACTCAAACCACAGTTGGCCATGTGGAAGTACCCAGCACCTTAATCACCACGCCACCTGTGACCCCTAAATAAATAATTCTTTTTTTTTTTTTGGAGAGGTTTTTGCTATAGGGCGCATGCGCTCACCAGACAGACAGAGAGAGACAGAGAGACAGAAAGCGAGAAATCACCCCCCAGGGGGGATGGTCACGCCGCAATCCCTTCTCCTCCATTCTCCTCTCGGGATCTTGGGCACGCAAGAGTTTTAAGCCACCGGGTCCAGGATGGGAACCGCAGTTGACTACGTGGGAGTCCAGCGACATAGCCATTACGCTAACTGCTGGTTCCCAATAAATAATTCTTTACAAAAAAAATTAAATGGGGCCTGATTGGGCAGACAAGCAACAAAAATGTGTCAATCAAATATTGATAACTTAATTGGAACATATAGCACACATGCTCATTTTGAAGAATTTTAGAAAAAGTAATCTGAGTTGCCCAAAAGCAGAGGCTAGCTAGCATTTATGGGAAATATTATACCTGAAAACAAGGGGAACTTTTCATGTATGAATTTCAATGTATAAATTTCCTTTTCTGCTGTTTAGTTTAAAATAGTCTTGTCAGTCTAAAATAATGGTTCTTTAAAATGTCACTTTCTATGTGTAGATGGTTTGATTTTACAAACTTGGCCATGCCATACTGTTCTGCCGTGAGGTGTGGCTCCGAGGTGTACAACCAAGTGCCGCACAGTGCTGTCCGCACAGCGCAGCCGGAGCGCAGCGTCGGGTAAGCCTCAATGCCCTCCAGTCTCCATCTGCCCCTTGTTTGTGCTTTGCCTTGAGCAAGTTCCCACTTCTCTAAGCCTCAGTTTCTCTCTTTGTAAAATGGGGTTAACAGCAGTATCTTGTGATAAGCATTAGATAAGCTGATACACACAAAGCTGTCCAGCCATCACATGACAAGAAGGTGTTGAATAAAAACACTTGAACATTTGCTCAGATCCTCAGCTATTTCACTCTGAGAACAGGAGTTTACTGTACAGAACACTAGGCTAAAACCCAGGGGCTGTGCGGGGCAGGGAGGCGGTGCATGCGGTGGGCCAGCAGCTGGGAGCAGAGTGAAGAGAGGTAGCAACCTCCTCAGCAGAGAGCGGGGGAGAGGCCCGCCCACTTCCTGCAAGCCCACCGGCATTCACATTCCCTGAGTTCGGGACCCCCGCAGGGGACGTGAAATCACAACGTCTGTGCGCCATACCAGCTGCTTCTGTCCGATTTGAGAGCTTTTCTCGAGAGAACTTTGATCTGTGTGTTCCTCTTGAATGGAATTGTTTTTTCCTGGTTGTTCGCTCATTTCTGATCACTAAAAAGGTAATTGGAAAAAAAATTAAATACATTTCATCCCCGGTTACTTCATCCTGTGACTCTTTTCTGGTTTCTGCCTGTGTCAGTTTCTTCCAAAGCTAGACTTCCTGAAGAAGCTATCTACACTCCTGACTCCAAAATATTGTTTTCCCACTCACTCTTCAACCCTGCATCTAACGTCCTCAGACCACTCTACCATGTGCTTCTCTCCCAGGCGTTCCATGAGCACATCAACTGCACATTTTACGGTCCTTCGTGTCACAGATCTCTCGGAGCAGGTGACACTGCGGACCATGCTCTGCTGTTAAGGAGGCTCTAGGCCTCCACTATTCCCCTTTCACACTTACTCTCTTGGAAAAAATAAAATAAAATAAAACAAACAGAAAAATGCATTAATGTCATACATCCCTAGTAGCTCCGTAAAGTTCTAATCTACCTATATGGTGGTGTCAGCTGTCTGGCAATACCTCTTCCAGTATTGCCACACCACCTCTAAATGCCCTGCCCTCCTCCCTCAAGTTTTCAGACAAATTTCTAATGTCTGCTAAGTGGAAGTCGTCAGTTTCCTATAAAGCACAGCTGTTAACATGCTGCTAACATAACAAGTATTTTACTTCAAAATACTTCAGCAAATCTGTCCCTGGCGTACCATAGTTTGATTTTATGATGGATTATTTGGACATAGCCCATCTCATGCTGAGCTCTTCACAGTTTTCAATGGGGTTACAGTTTCTACTGAATGTGTGTCACTTTCACACCATCACAAAGTTGAAAACTCCTAAGTCAAGCCATTGTAATGGGCACTGATCTGTTGCCAGCATTAAATACAATTTCAACCTGGAATGGGTTCATCAGACGTTACCCCATCATAGGTGAGGAGCCCCCGCACGCCCAAAGTGCTACTGAGTGTCTGTGCTGAGCTCAAGTGTAAGATCTTACCTGATGTGCAAAGTCCAGCACTGGTCTGCTGTTTCCATAAACCCTGCTGCTTTCTCTAACTCTCAACTATAAGTGCTACCTACAGGGAGCCATTTCTATGAGAGGGAACTACTACCTTGTATGTCCAAGCTGGCTCGGGTCATCTGGCACCACCTCCTTGCAGGCGAATGGAAATTCCATTCCATCCATGGGTGTTCATTCTCCTAACACCTGGGTTGTCATCTCTGACTGCTCATTCTTCCGTAGCTCACTTTCCAATTCCCAACATCAGATTAGGAAGTAATACTGATTTTTCTCATCTGAATTTCCTGACATTGGTTCTTCCTTTCCATTCTCCATTGAGTAGTCTACCATGATGATAATATTAATAGTAGCAGTAGTACTGGCACAGTTTGAGTATTTCTTATCTGAAACGCTTTAGACCAGACGTGTTTCAGACTTTGTATTTTTTTCATATATTGTAATATTTGCATCTACTGAATCTAATGAGATATCCTGGGGAGGAGATCCAATCTAAACAGGAAATTCATTTATTTTTTCATATAAACTTTACACACATAGCATAGGGGTGATTTTATGCAATATTTTAAAATAATTTTATGCACGAAACAAAGTTTGTATACCTGAACCATCAGAGAACAAAAGTTTCACTATTTCAACCACTCGTGTGGGCAATCTGTGGTTGTTTGGCAATGCCAGGGCTAGGAGAGCCTTGTTCCTTGGAGATGGTGCCTGTGTTTTGACTTTGACTTGTCACTGGAGGTCATGTGTGGAGTTCTAGTAATGCCTTAACCTTGACCAAGGTGACCTAAGCTTGAGTAAACTTCGGACAGGTTCCTTCCTGATAAGAAGCCCCTGGCCTCCCTTACCTTCTTCCTTCCCTCAGAGCATATATTTTAGAACATTTGCAATTATAACTTACTTCTCCTCCCTTGAAGTGCAAATCTTCTCCCATACTGTTGTCAACCTAGGATGTCCTTCTCAAGGATCTGGGAGTCATTCCTTTGAAATGTGATCATTGAAGAAGGCAGTTCTTAGACCTGCTACTGGATCATGCTATTTGATGTACTAATAATTAAGCACCTGTATTACTATTTGCCCATTTTGATAAGTGTATCTTAATATAGCTAGTTTCCTTTGTGATCTCATAGATTTTTTTTTGGAGAGGTTTTTGCTATCAGGTGCATGCAATCGCCAGAAAGACAGAGAGAGACAGAGAGACAGAAAGTGAGAAATCACCCCCCAGCAGGATGGCCACGCTGCAATCCCTTCTCCTCCATTCTCCTCTCAGGATCTTGGGCACAGATCACACGTGCCTGGCGCATTTACAGATGAGGCAACTGAGGCCAAGAAAGATCTTTGGGTCACAGAGTTACTGGTAGGCTGCATAAGTATAAAACCTAGATTTGTCAGACCCCAAAACTATATTCCATACAGGATGAGTGACTGCTCCAAGATTTAATGATGACCATCAACATGATATAGGATATTGTCCAGGAAGGGGATTCAATCAGTGTCAGTCACATAGAGCCTTTCTAGCAGAAAAACAAAAAAAAAACCAAAACACCTGGGAAAGAATACTCCCTCTACCCCAAACTTATTCTATGAGGTTTTGTAGTCAACTTTACCCTGACTGCAAAACTAAACAAAAATACAACAAAAATAGGAAACTACAGATTAATTTCCCTGATGAAGAAAGATACAAAAATGTTCAACAAAATATTAGGAAACCATCTCCAATGGCACATCAAAAAGATTATACAGCATGATCAACTGGGATTTATCCAGAAATGCAAGGATGGTTCAATACATCCAACTCAATAAATGTGATACACCATATCAACAAACTGAAGGACAAAATCCATATAATCATTTCAATAGATGCAAATAAAAACATTAGATAAAATTCGACATTTCACAGTAAAAACTCTTAACAGATTAGGTACAGAAGGAATGTATCTCAATGTAATAAAGGCCAAATAGGACAGACTCACTGCTAGCATTACACTGAATGCAGAGAAACAGAAAGGTTTTTCTCTAAGAACTGGACCAACAGAAGGATATCCACTTTCTTCTTTCCTTTCTTTCTTTCTTTCTTTTCTTTTTTTTTTTTTGGAGAGGTTTTTGCTATAGGATGCATGTGCTTGCCAGAAAGACAGAGTGAGACAGAGAGAGACAGAAAGTGAGAACTCACCCCCCCTCAGGGCGGGGGAGGATGGCCATGCCACAATCCTTTCTCCTCCATTCTCCTCTCAGGATCTTGGGCACGCACACACATACGCCTGGCGTGAGTTTAAGCCACTGGGTCTGGGACTCAAACCATGGTCGACTACATGGGAGTCCAGTGATGTAGTCATTACGCCAACTGCTGGTCCCAGGATGTCCACTTTCACCACTCTTATTCAACACAGTACTGGAAGTCCTGGCCAGAGCAATGAGGCAAGAGGAGGAAATAAAGGGCATCCAAACAGGAAAGGAGGAGGTCAAGTTGTCCTTGTCTGCAGACAGCATGAATTTATATGGAGAAAACCCCAAAAGACTCCACCAAAAAACCCTTAGAACTGGTAAATGAATTAAGTAAAGCTGCAGGACACAAACTCAGCATACAAAATTCAGTAGAATTTTAGTACAATAATAATGAATGAATTAAAAAAATAAAAAAGCAATCGCATTTACAATATAGTTGCTAAAAAGTAAATAAAATACTTAAGAATAACCAAGGAGGTTAAAGATCTCGCCAATGAAAACTAAAAACACTGACTAAAACATTTAAGAGGAGACACACACACACACACACACATTCACACACTAGAAAGATATGCCTTATTTATGGACTGGAAGAATCAATATATTTAAAATGTCCACACTGCCAAAAATGATCTACAGAGTCATGCAATACCTACCAAAATACTAAGATATTCTCCACAAACATAGGAAAAACAATCATAAAATTTGTATGCAACCACAAAAGACCTGAATTTCCAGAGCAATCCTGAAAAAAAAATGAAACTAAAAAGATCATACCACCTAACTTGAAAATATGACCAGATCTCCAAGAAGTTCTCAAGGGAGTGCTGTATCAAGAAAATTAAATACAGACACACAGAATTAAGAGTTCAAAAACTAAGAAAATGGCCAACTTAATCATAAGGACAAGCCTGGAATTGAATAGTATATCCCAGAATTGAATCGGGAAGATCAAACCACAGCAGAAGAAAAAGTACATGAGACTGAATTGGTGAAATAGAATTTTATGACCTGACTAAAACAGTGTTGAATTGCTTCTAGACTTTGTTGTTCGGTTTTAAGGATTTGTGTCCTGTCTTGAGATGTCGATAGGTTCATGTACCTACGGTTTGAACAGAATCCTAACCTGTTTCCTGGCTTTAAGTTTTAAACAAAGTCGTTTAGTATTTCTTTGATTTAAGTTAAAACTGCTTTTCTTGAAATTACAAGCTGAACTTGCTATTGAAAGTGGTTAGATTATTCAAGAAATTGTGTCGTCAATACAATGGGAGAGGGGGAAGGAATGGAAGACAACTGTAGACACGGAAGATAGTGTGAGAAGAGGGTGGGAACGGTGGACAGAGCTGGGAACGGCGGACAGAGGATCAGAAATAGGGGTAAAAAATATATACATATGTATATGTATATATAAACTAGAAATGGAAAATTTTTGATGATAACATGAATGATAAGCCACTATGCAGTATATTCTGGATGGGAAATCACATTTTGTATGCTGTGACGAGCTTAGGGAATGAATGTAAATTAATTAAGTTTAAAAAAAAGTTTAGAAAAACCACTAAAACTGTTTTTCTTAAAACTAAAAAAAAAAAGCATTAAAAATGCCTACTTGATGACTGCAGTAAGCTATATAGCTCCAGCTAGGTGCTACTTTATAGGATGTTCATTCTACTCACTGAGGTTTATGCCTAAAGTCAGACTTGGGTTCATGGAAATGTATATATCAGCTGTGCTTGCTATTGAAAATATTTAGACTAATTAAGATTTTCAGTGAATCAATAAAATGTGGGCAGAAAAAGGCAT